AGTAGATTTAAGATATTATCTTGTCAAATTAAACACAACTGCCTTTATTATAGGATCTTGCATAGCAGAAGAAACCATTTCCTCATTGATTAATGATTTAATAGATCGATCACAAAGTGCAACCTTGTTTAAGTATCCAGCATTAAAATCCAACTCTGCGTTCATATCTTCAACTGTACTTTTACCATTAACCAAAGTTAATGCCACTGAAAAAGGTTTATCTTGATCATCAGGTAGAGCTACATGAGTGAATGCAACTTCAACTTCTTTTATAGCCTTCGTAGTTGGATTGCACAATGATATATGTAAAAGTACTACGTCACCCTCTGTCATACCTTCTGTGAACATTTTATAGTCAGCAATTGAGAGGTTTAATTGTAATTCATTTTCACCTTTAACCACTGTACCATTTTTAATTCTCAATTTATCATGATTATTAAGCATATACTTAGCAACAATATTAGATGCACTCAAACCATCTACACCATCTTTACCTCTAGCATTCTCTACTGCTGTATTAGTAATTATTTGCTGTACTGAAGTGAAAACAAATGCAAGAGCAAACGCAGCAATAACACCCAAAAGCGCTGGTGTAAGTCCCATACCTACTAATACACCAAATAATGGTGGAAAAAATACTGCAGTTCCTACTGCTGCTAAAGTTAATACACCTATTGTAACACCCACTATAGGGATAATGTTGTTTTTATTCTTAATGACTTCTGTCATACCTATCATAATTTCTCCTTAAATGAAAATTAATATTGATTAAGTATATCTCAACTATAACTATAATTCAATATATTTTAACACTATTTTTATAAATAAAAAGAAAATATATTAATATCTCAATATACTTTTAACTACTCTACAAAAAAGGCAAGAGGTAGAAAATTCTACTTCTTCTATATTATTCAAGATTATTTGCAACATTTAGCATGTTCTACTACCAAAATTAGGTTGACCCATTTCTATTGAAGCCATCATTGAAGAGATCATACTACCTACACATGAAGCTACTCTTACGGCAAATGCTATTTGTGGTGAAGTTGACTTTGATACGCCAAGTAAATATGGATAATACAATGTTATTGTTGTTAATATTGTAACTGGTACATTTATCGCAACACATGCCAAATGTGTAATGTTTTTTGTATTCAGTCTCACACTTTTCCCTTAAATGAAAATTATACTTTAGCTACAAATATAATTCTATATCTTTTTATACTAGATCTCTCTTGCAAAACCTATTCATGATGAGAAAAGTAGCACAGGCAAGCACCGCAATTGAGGAGCATAGCAAGCCTCAACGATAAAATTGCCATCAAAAATAGGTTTGCACTCTGATCTATTTTAGGGCTTCATAGTAGTGTAAAAGCATGCACTTAACTAGTTTGGGCTGTTGTATTACAGTGTTTACCTTTGGTTCCTCATTATTTATATCTAATTCTATCACTTCATCTTCTATTCTCAGATCACCAATATCATTTTCATCACAAACGCCAGTTGATGTACTGGTAGATAGATTAGGTGTAATAGTTATAACTTCTACAGCATCTTTGAATTGAACCCCCTTTTTGTTGCATTGAGTAGTAAGTAATGGTTCCTCATTTGGGGTGTCACCTTGCTGAACTTCATCTTTTGAAGTTTCATCATTTGGAATATTATCTTCTATTACATATTCACCATAGTCGCAATCAGCATATCTTGCGGTTATTCCTATTGAAAGCCCAGAAAGTATACACAAACTCATCACTATGCATACCCTATTCTCTAGATTGAGATTTAATGGCTGGGATATGACAACTACTGTTGTTACTAAAGTTAATAAACTCATTGTAATACCTACCATAGGCATAATATCTTTTTTTATTTCCATACCTTCACCTCAAAAAAATATACTAATTAAGTATACTTTGATTAGAAATATAATTATACATATTTTAATATAATTTCTTTTGAGTTTTATAAAGGGTAATAAAAAAGTAATAAAAATTAACTTTAAATTTTTCTTTCTAATTTATTATTAACAAATATAATTACTAC